AGTCGCCCAATGCCTCACTTTTGGCTACTAAATTATTTTTAGTCGCCGAATGCCTCACCTTTGGCTACTAAATTTTTTTTAGTCGCCAATGGGCCTTACTTTTGGCTACTAAATTTTTTTTAGTCGATGAAAGCCATATATCGGCAACCAAACAGATTTTTAGTCACCAAAACCTATACTTTTGGCTACTAAATTTTTTTAGTCGCCAAAAATCTTTACTTTTGGCTACTAATGCCTTTTTAGTCGCCAAAACCTATACTTTCAGCGACCAAAGGTGCTTTTTTAGTCGCCAAAAATACTTTTTCTTGTAGTGATCATTAAAAGTGATTTTTAATAATAATAAATTAAGTGTCTTAAACATTTTTCATTAACTTTTATAATCTTTTCATTCCATAATCTTGACATTTATTTATCCACTACTACAAATATAGATAAAGATCACACTTTTTTAATGTGATGTATGTTTTTTAATCACACCTTTTAAGTTTTATTAAAGTGTGGTCTTTAAGAGTGTGATTAAAAATGGTCATTTTTTAATTCTCTTGAATCTAATGGGTTCATAGGATTATTTTATTAATATTAACAATCCTATAAACTATAAACTAATAAAATGTAAATGGCTTAAAAGGGAACATGTGATCTTAATTCTTGATGGCACTGCCAGAGCTGAATAAATTGTTACACATGAAACACTCATTCATCAATGTTATGCAGTTGATACTATTATTATCTTGTTTGTTTGTTGGAGTTGTAAATTTGACTTTCCTGAATCAACTGGGCCCATTCAGTTGACTAGTTTCACTTTTATCTGTTTATTGTATTGTTCATTTCTCATTATGTCACTTTTTTTTGAGGTTAAGGTTATTAAAATCAGGATTTTAGGTAGGATCATTGAGAAGGATTTATGGATTAGATCGTAGAATTGAATCGAGAATCGGAATATTCTATTTTTAATATAAAATAAAATCATAAATTGTCTATAATGATATTATAAGTTAAATAATTGTAAAATCATTAAAGAAAAATGCTTAATTTGATATAATGTATCTTTTAGGTTATCATAAATTAGAAGAGAGGTTTGTAGAAAAAAAATTATAGAAAAATTTCTTATATAAATATACACATATACATACGTATATACGAAATAAATAAAAATAATTTTTTTTGGGTAAGATTGAGATCGTAGTAAAATTGGGATCCAACTGTGATTTTACATGATTTTATAACTAGGATTGTAATCATTTTAAGATCTTACTAAATTTAAGATCCTACTCCGATCTGGATTGTTTGGACTAACTAGAGTCATAGGATTGAGAGATCCTACAATTCAGATTGGGATTCTGATAACCATGTCTGAGGTTGGTTGGTTGTCGGGTTGGTTGTTTTTTCTCCTATTATGGGGCTCTTTTGTTGAACTAAGTGAGTTTCTATACTTGTTGGACTATGAATATCCGGATGTAATTCTTTTAATACTATAAATAATTTCTTATTGATTAATCCCCCCCCCAAAAAAAGTTCACTTTTCCTTTCATAATTGTGATTGATGTCCTTGTAAGTTTGTAGCCATATATTGTTAGATTTTTTTTTTATAACAGAAATTAATATCCAATTTAATGTATTTTTCGCGATTAATAGTAAATAATTGAAGGATTGATCAATAAATTTCATATCATGAACTTCTAATCCATATAATTTAATATTTATGTGTGTAATCTATTAAGTCATTTTCAATGTGGAATGACTCATTTGTCATTATTTGATGATATAGGTATGAGTATCAAATCTCCTTAATTGTTGTTGTTTGTTAGAATTTTACATTTGAAAAAAGTACATCAAAAGATTTTTTAACAGACCTTTTAAATGTACTCAATGTCACATCATACCCACTCCAAATGTGTAAAACCCATTTATAGTAAGTGTGGGGACATATTTTTTAAGTGTCAGCCGAGGTGTCATGTGACCTGGTCCTGATGCCGAGGTGATCTCGGCTAGGCCGAGGTCATCTACAGAGATATTAGACTCCGAGATGAGCGAATAAGGGACAAGAGTCCTAGAACAGGGGAGGATCTCAGTCTGGATAAAGATAGAGCTCTTAGGGAGTTTATCTCTATCAAGTTGAGAGTCCAAGATGAGCATTGAGCCTGAGTCCATTGAAGTTAGGCCTCTATAGGGATCAGGTCAGCGCTAGGTATAAAAACAGGGCACCCCTGTGGGTCTGAGGTATGTGTAAGGTATTAAGGGTAATAAGCTTTTTCTTGTGAGTTAAGCATAATTTGCTATCTTTAAGAGATACTGACCTGATTTTCAGAGTACCCCCGGGTGAACGAACCACCGTCGGATTCTTATCTTCCTATAATAGGTTGTTCGGGCTTAATCTATTTTGCCGGTGCTCTTCAGCTGAGTTCCTCTTTTGGTTGTGTGGTCGGAAATCAACACCCATAATTTGGCGCCGTCTGTGGGAACGTAAGGAGAATAGATGGCCAACGACGGACAAAAAGAGAAGATTGGGGACGACATCCCTAGTGGGAGTGGTAAACATGCCAATCCTAACATGGAGGAGGAAAACCATAATAAAGGACCACGAGATAAGAATCCCGCAGAAAAGGACGTTGGTCTAGAGGGAGACCCATTGAAGAAAGCAGGCCAAGACGAGTATTACAACGAAAGCGACATCCAGGTATAGAAGGATAGATGCCTGAGGAGGGACAATGAGATAAAGGGGATGGCAAACAAGTTGGCAGACCTACAATCGATTATTAACTTCATGATGCAGAACAACGTCATGCAACCACCGTTTCCATTGAAGAACACGCATATTCTAGCGGCCAAGAACGACATCCAGAAAGGGGGACATAGAGCAATTCCAATAGTCCATCAGCATGACAAGGTGAAAAAACGCTCACATCGACCTTCACGGGACGCCAGGCGAGCAGAGTCAATGAGAGGAGAGTCTCAGAGAACACCTCAGACCAAGGGAACTTATGTCAAGGAACATTGGCATGTTCAGGGGAAGAAACTTTGTTTCGATACTGTGAATGAAGAGAAGTCCAAGGGGACTCATAACGACGTCGGAAGCAGTGCACCAAAAAGGCTAAAATCCGTTGATAGCCAAGCTCCTGGTCGGACTAAGGAGAATTTGAGGGACTACCTCCAGAGGAAGTGGCAGAATGCTTGCCGAGGTCACATCTCCGGTCAAGCTGAGAACACCATTCTTAGTGGAGTTGGATAAGTTCGAGGCCCTGAAAAGGTTCCATATGCCAAGGTTCCAGATATATGACGGTAAGTCCGATTCGAACTTTCACGTCGGCTTGTATTTGAATTCAATGGCACTATGTACTGGGAACGAACCGTTGCTCTGCAAGGTGTTCCCTTCATCCTTTGGGAAAATTGCATCAGATTAGTTTCACAAGTTGCCGAAAGGAACTGTGAAGAGTTGGGAAGGCCTGGCCGAGATATTTATTGCCAGGTTTGTCATGAACGAGTTATAACCATTAAGGGTAGACTCCCTGATGGCTTTGAAAATTGGCGAGGGTGAAAGCCTCAAGGCTTATGCCAAAAGGCATTATGGGGTGTTCAACCGAATACTAGGATATAACCAGAAGTTGGCGATTGTGTCTTTTAAGAATGGTCTGGAGGATGACTGCATGCTTTGAAAGTCACTGGCAAAGACTCTGCCAAATAGTATGGAGGAGCTCATGGTAAGAATCGAAAAATATGCTAGAGCAGAAAAGGATACACCAGGAGCAAAGTCACCGAAGTAGGAAAAGAGAAACGGCTTGCCAAAGCGAGGCCGAGGTAATACAGGATTTAATAGACATGAAACAGGACTAAGGGCTACACAGGCAGTCACCACTATGTTCCAGATCCCGGTTTATAAAGTTCTAGAAAGGATTAGGAACCAACCGTATTACAGAGAGCCGGAGAGGATCCCTGGCAAATTTATAGAGAAAAGTCTAGGGAAGCACTGTGCCTACCACAATGAAGATGCACACTTGATGCAGGGTTATAGAGCCCTAAAGGCACATTTGAAAGATCTGGTCAGACAAGGTCACTTAAGGGACCTAGTAGATGAGGCCCGAACGAGAAAAGAGCAGGCAAGGCTGCCCTAGGCATCGGCCGCACCACCTCCACTAGCACTGCAATAGCAAGCAGACGGACCACGAGTGATCAATGTGATTCACTCGAGGGTCAATGAGAATGAGGTACGTGGGGAGACTCAGAGGGTAAAGCACTTATAACATGTGTATCAAGTCCAGCAAAAGAGGCCTAGGACAGATGAGTGCTAGGGACCAATGGTGTCCTTTACTGAAGCAGACCTAGACATAGTGCATCATCCACACAACGATACTTTGGTAGTAACCCTTAAGATTGAAGAATACCAAGTAAGGCATATTCTGATTGACTAGGGCAGCTCTTGTGACATCATGTATGTCAGATGTGACAAGGAGCTTGGCCTTCACCAAGACGATTTGGAATAGTCCAACAGCCCAATGGTCGGGTTCAATGGAACGCCGACCTGGCCCCTGAGAGCAATAAATTTGGAGGTGTAAGCAGGCACTAAGAAGGTAAGCACAGAGTTTACAGTAATTGACACCCCTTCCCCTTACAATGTTATCTTAGGAAGGCCATGGTTGCACGCAATGAAGGCTGTTCCCTCAATACTGCACCAGCTGTTGCGGTTCCCAATGGAGCAAGGAATTGAGGAAGTCAGATGGGATCAGGTGCAAGCAAAGAATTACTCCATGGTAGCAATGAAATCCACTTTCAACGTGCGAGAGACAGAAACAGTAGAAATTGAGGATGAGGACATGAAGGTCCTGGATGACGTCAGCAAAGAGCCAGCCGACAAAAGCAAGGAAGCCCTGAAGAAAATTTTGGTCCAATAAGGGGATGAAGAGTGCTTCTTCCTTCTTGGCTCATGCTTGGTTGAGGAGGAGGAGAAGGAGTTAGAGTCATTCTTACAAGCAAACATAGAGGTGTTTGCCTGGACGCCCTACGAGATGCCTGGCATTGATCTCGAGGTCACATGCCATATGCTTAATGTAGACAGGTCGGTTAAACCTATCATCCAGCGAGCAAGGAGGCCGATGTTGATGCATGTTGAGGCGGTTGAGGAGGAAGTGGAAAAACTGCTGGAAGCCAAAGCCATTCGCGAGCTAAACTACCCTACTTGGCTGTCTAACACTGTGGTGGTGAAAAAGACGAATGGGAAGTGGAGGGTCAGCGTGGACTTCACCAGCCAAAATAAGGCTTGTCCTAAAGATAGTTTCCCACTACCCAAGATTGACCAATTAGTGGATGCCACTTTAAAGCATGGAAGGACCAGCTTCTTAGATGCTTACAGGAGATACCACCAGATAGTGATGTACCTCTCTAATGAGGAAAAGACTGCATTTATCACCCCAAAAGGGCTGTACTGCTACAGAGTGATGCCTTTCGGGTTTAAAAATGCGAGAGCAACCTACTAGAGGTTGGTGACCAAGATGTTCAAACATCTGATTGGCAAAACAGTGGAAATGTACATTGATGACATGGTCGTGAAGACCAAAGAACCTGAGAATCACCTGGCTAACTTAAAGACAGTTTTTGACATCCTGAGGACATATCGGCTCCAACTCAATGCTTCGAAGTGAGCATTTGGAGTCGGGTCTGGTAAGTTCCTAGGATATTTGGTTACTAGAAGGGGCATCAAAGCAAGCCCGGATCAAATCAAGGCCATCCTTGACTTGAAAAGCCCAACATCAGCTAAATAAGTACAGATGTTGATTGGAAGAGCCGTAGCCTTGAACAGTTTATAAACAAAAGTTTGGATAAGTGTAAACCATTTTTTATCTTGTTAAAGAAGGCCATAAATTTTTTGTGGATGGAAGAATGCGAAGTCGTCTTGGTCGACCAGCTCCAGTTCTTTCAAATCTAGTACCTGGCGAGGAACTGTTCTTATACTTGGCAGTTTTAGAGCACGCAGTGAGTGCCGTGGTAATCAGAGAAGAGAAAGGATAACAAATGGTAGTATACTATGTGAGTAAAACCATAGCAAGCGCAGAAACCAGGTATTTACCCTTGGAAAAATTGACACTAGCCCTGTTAATGGCTTCGAAGAAACTGAATCATTACTTCCAAGCTCACAAGGTTGTGGTATTGATAGAGCATCCTTTGAAGTCCTTGTTGCAACAGGGAGATTTGACAGACAGGGTAGCCAGGTGGGCAGTAGTGTTGGGCCAATATGACTTAGAGTTTAGGCCTAGAAAGGCAATTAAAGGCCAGGTTCTGGCCGACTTTGTGGCCGAGTTCACACCTGGTGCCGTACCATGTCGGGCTCCGGTGAGCCGCGGCTTAGGGTGTCGAGGGGAACAAGAAGAACCCAGCTAGGAACGAAATCCCCACAACAGCAGAGCATAAGCAGGTAGAGAAACCAAAGCCCTGTGACATCTACCTCGGCAACTCTTTCTACCTGTTTGTTGATGGAAGTTCAAACCGTCAAAGAGTGGGGGCAAGAGTAGTGTTAGTATCGCCAGATGGGCGAATGTTAGAGAAGTCTATTCATTTGGGGTTCAAGGCCTCAAACAATGAAGCGGAATATGAGGCACTGATCGCAGGGTTGAAGTTAGCAGTAACAATGGAAGCAGACGAAGTGGTAGTCTTCTTTGACTCCCAACTTATTGTGAACCAGGCAACAGGCGAGTATGCAGCCCGAGACGAAAGAATGATAGTCTATGTCAAAAAAGTTGTTAGGCTGCTAGCCTTGTTTCAGGATTGCCGACTACAGTAGGTTAGCCGTGATGATAACAGCCACGCTAATGCCTTGGCTAACCTAGCTAGTGCAATGAAGTCAGGAGAGGCAATGATAATAATGGTTGATTATTTATTAGGCCCAAGTGTGGAACCACTAATCACAGAGTATGAAGCAATGTGTGTGGAGATGGGTCCAAGTTGGATGGATGTAATAGTGATGTTTCTTAAAGACGGTAAGCTGCCAGATGATCGCAAAGAGGCGCATAAGACCAGATTGAAGTCGGCAAGGTTTAGCCTAACAGAAGAAGGACATCTCTACAGAAGGTCTTTTACTGGTCCCCTTTTGAGGTGTGTACATCCCTCCCAGGTTGAAAACTTCTTGTATGAAATACACGAAGGCCATGTTTGTTTGGGCGGACTGGATTAGTATTCCCATGACTAATAGTCCTAAGACTACCAATCCGTTGGATTATGTATCCTATCTTAACTAATAGTCAAGTTTAAAATAATTAATCCGTACTTCAATTGTTTAACCAAACATCGGATTAATAATTTTATTGGACTATTAGTCTAATTCCAAGCTCATGTCCACCCAAACAAACATAGGGGAAGGGGTATGTGGAAACCGCATTGGGGGCATATTACTTTCTCATAGGGCCATTACTCAAGGGTACTGGTGGCCCTACATGCAGAAAGATGCTAATGTCTACGTCAAACAGTGTGAGAAGTGTCAAAGGTTCACACTTTTGATACATCAACCAACAGCAGATTTGAACCCAGTGTCCAGTCCCTGGCCATTTGCCTAGTGCGGTATGGATCTTGTTGGACAACTGTCCCAAGCAACTGGGCAAAAGAAGTTCCTGCTGGTAGCAATTGATTATTTCATAAAGTGGGTAGAAGCTGAACCCCTTGCGAAGATTCGAGATATAGATGTAAAAAACTTCATATAGAAGAACATCACCACCAGGTTTGGGATCCCAAGAGCAATAATAGCAGACAATGGTACATAGTTTGACAGTAAGCTAATCAAAAGCTTCTGTGCAAAGTATAAAATCAAGAACTACTACCCTACTCCAAGTTTCCCTCAGAGTAATGGTCAGGCAGAAGCATCCAATAAGACTATCTTGGATGGGATCAAAAAGAGGCTGGAAGCAACAAAGGGAAAATGGGTAGAGGAGTTACCCAATGTACTATGGGCATATCAGACTACGCCGATAAGATCAATTGGGGAGTCTCCATTTTTCATGGCATATGGCACCGAAACAGTTATCCCACTAGAAGTCGGCATTGCAGGGATTAGAACCCAGAGAGTAGAAAACGGGACTAATGAGGCATTCCTAGCCCGAGATTTAGACCTACTGGAGGAGAAAAGAGAGAGAGCAGTAATTCGGTGGGGCATACCAGCAATAACTTGCAAGGGCTTACAACAAGAAGGTTAACCCAAGAGAGTTCAAAGTTGGAGACCTTGTGCTAAAGAAAGTAGTCAGCAACAAGAAGGATACTAGGGAAGGCAAGTTTGGCCCAAATTGGGAGGGGCCTTATAGAATCATCTCGGTCGCCGGCAATGGGGCATATCGACTTGAGGACAATGATGGCAAATAGTTGCCAAGACCTTAGAACACTTGCAACTTGAAGTTTTTCTATCATTAGATTTTTTGTTTTTCAAAGTTTATGTCATTAGCTGAAGTAATAATAAAATTTTAGTTTGATTTTTATGAATTTGAAATTTGTGTGATAGGACTGACCAATCCTATGGCGATATTTCTAAATGAAACATGATGAATAACTTAGACTCATTATATGGCAGAGTTAAATTATACTTGCATATAATAGAGTTGAACTAAGTTGGCTATGTTTCTAAATGAAACATGATGAATAACTTAGACTTATTATATAGCAGAGTTGAATTATACTTACATATAATAGGGTTGAACTAAGTTAGCGATGTTTCTGAATGAAACATGACAAATGACTTAGACTTATTGGCCCTGTTTGGTAGGGCTTATTTCCAGCTTATTTAAGCTTTTAGCTTAATTTAAGCTATTTTGATGTGTTTGGTTCAGCTTAACAATACAGCTTATAGCTTTTTGTAAGTCAAAAATCAACTTATTCTTTGAGTGAGGAAGGAGAAGCTTAATTTATAAGTCAAAAATCAGCTTATGTTCACAGCTATAAGCTATAAGCTGTTAGGCTATAAGTTATAATCACTTTTACACAGCTCTACCAAATGGGGCCATTATATGGCAGAGTTGAATTATACTTGCATATAATAGAGTTGAACTAAGTTGGCGATGTTTTTGAATGAAACATGACGAATTGACTTAGACTTGTTATATAACAGAGTTGAATTATACTTGCATATAATAGAGTTGAACTAAGTTGGCGATATTTCTGAATAAAGCATGACGAGTAACTTGGACTTATTATATGGCATAGTTGAATTATACTTGCATATAATAGAGTTGAACTAAGTTGAATTAATCTAGGTTTGCCATGTCGGCAGAGTTAAACTCTGAATGGAACTTAGTGTGCTTTAATCGGATTAACAGAGAAACCAAGGTTGAGCACCTCGGCTAGTCTTTGTTCGAATCTGACTTTGGCGAAAGGCTATAAATGCATAATGTGAACTGAAGTAGAACTTAGGTTCACATTAGGAGACAGAGAGCTGGAGAATGATAAATAAACTTAAAAGTTTAAGAGCTTGGGACTTGTTGAAATTTTTTAAAAGAATGAACTAAGTTGGCGATATTTCTGAATAAAGCATGACGAGTAACTTGGACTTATTATATGGCATAGTTGAATTATACTTGCATATAATAGAGTTGAACTAAGTTGAATTAATCTAGGTTTGCCATGTCGGCAGAGTTAAACTCCGAATGGAACTTAGTGTGGTTTAATCGGAATAACAGAGAAACCAAGGTTGAGCACCTCGGCTAGTCTTTGTTCGAATCTGACTTCGGCGAAAGGCTATAAATGCATAATGTGAACTTAAGTAGAACTTAGGTTCACATTAGGAGACAGAGAGCTGGAGAATGATAAATAAACTTAAAAGTTTAAGAGCTTGAGACTTGTTGAAATTTTTTAAAAGAATTTACAAAGTTAAAATGGGCTTAACACTTGTTGAAATTTCAGAGAAATTTACAAGTTGGAGTAAGCCAAAGTAATTATGAAAGATGTATCAGAGATACATATTACCCGAGGTGACCAAATAGGTTGTCAAGGTTGGAAGGGCGAAGTCTTGATAGAGGACAGCATGTGGAAATGAAGGAGCAATACTTGGCTGAATAAGTCTACAGAAACAACACTTGTAAAAATATTTTGAAATATTTTTAAGTGTTAGCTGAGGTATTCAAAACTGTTGGCCAAGACAATAGCCAAGGTTTGCATCCGAGGTACTCTACCCCGAAGTTATTATACAGTTAAGGTATACTTTGAAGTCATACAAAATTATTCTAAGTATGAAAGCATACAATGCATAGAAAGAAGGCAGTAAGCAAAGCATTTAACACTTAGGAAAGAAGGAAGAAGGCATACATTCAACACTTGGAAGAAAATATAAGACTTGCATTCAGGAAAAGACAACTTGTTCAAGTACATAAGCCGGTACATCGGCTCAACAAAACAAACATTGTTCAAAGCAAAGGAAAAAGTACAAACAAAGAAAAGATTCTAAACAAACTATTCTACTTCGGTGGTTAGCTGTGTTTCGGCCTCAACAGACAGCTGGGAGAGCTTCTTGGCAACCTTCTCGGCCTCGATCTCGGCGTCAATCTCTAGAAGAGTTTTGTCAAGGCTCTTCTTGATGCTTTCAACCTTGGCTTCAGGCGTGTTCTTAGGGACCTCGTCCTCGTCGTCCTGAGTCAAGTCCAGAACTTGCTCATTCAGAGTTGGGGACTTGGCCTCGGTAACTTCAGTCTTCTCAGCCTCATCCTTATCGGCCTCAATTTCTTCACCCCCCTCAGCCTCATCCTCAGATTAGCTTGGGGCGGGAGGGAATGGTATGACAAGTCGGATCTCGTCCCAGAGGGGTAAGTCGTTAGGGACATCTAACTCCTTCAAAGCAGCCATCCAACCAAGGGTGTAACCCCTATTGCATGCTTGCTTGACTTGCTTTTTGTATTCATCACGGACGTCAGCTGCTCCTTCGGCATAAGCCTTCTCATCTGCCTCCTTTATCTTGGCCACCTTGGTGGCAAGCACCGCCTGCAGCTCTGTTTGGGCTTGGGCCTCCTTTTCTTTGGCCTCTTTTGCCTCGGTTGGAGCAACCTCAGCAACATTTTCCGCAGCCTCGACGTAGTCTTCAGCTTTCTTTAGGGCCGACTCAGTAGCCTTGGCTTGATCTAGAAGACCTCGGACACGAGCCTCGACTTTGTTAGCGAAGTAAGGAGTTTGGCTTCCTCCTTTGTTTTTCGGGTTAGTTCTTTCTTGAACTCATCGGTCTTGACTGCAAGGGAGTGACCCTACTGGATAGCCTGCAAGAGTGTAAAGAAAATTCGTTAAGTATGAAAACCAGAGTTGAAATTAGACCAAAAATTACAAGTGTTGAGACTTGCTAAGACATAATGTTGCATCATCATCGCATAATTTTCATACTCCGAAAGCTCGGCCATCCGATTGATGTTGGCTGGGAGTAGAATGACGGTGGAAATAGCGGCTCCGACTTCCAGACTGTCGAGAGTATTATCCCCAACTAGAAGAGGTCGGTCTTCGACGTTGACAGATGGAGTCCAGGGAGCGTCAACATGAAATCCAGAGGGCTCAGAAGACCCGTCGGACCTCAGCTTTTTTGATTACGATTGGTCAGGTGCCTCGGCCTCAGCAGGCCTCTTCTCAACAGATTTCTCTACTTCATCCAATTTTGAAATTGACACTGTGTCTTTTGACTCCACCTAGGTGGCTCTGGGTTTCTTAGCCCTTTTAACCCTTTTTGCCTTGGGTTTTTGCTGAGATTGAGAAAACAATGAGGAGTGGACTAACAACACACCTGGGATGTCGGTAAAAGGTCGTCCGGGATGATTTTTACACGACCCATTTCTT